GGGGGGGGATTTATTCACACAGACTTGTAGTAGTTACTGATTGGTCCAGGTAAAATATCACGTTTGGGCGACTCATTGCTAAGGTTTGGTTACATGTCCATTAAAATGTTCCCCTTTTTTGGGGCCCTGGTGGACTTTGTAGGGTGATACTGACCTCCGGCAGTCGGGCGACTCTGCGGGTCGCTCTCCAGACAGTCCCAGATGATGCCACTTAGAACAGGCGGGCAGGACGCCGGGAGGTTTTCCCTGACCTCTGTACACAGCTTCTGGTGTATGGAACCCACAGAGCCATCACGCAGAGAGAGACCTGAGACAGGAGATGGATTTCATTAGAGCGGAGACTGGAAAAGGCCGAAAACAGCCCCAAAAATATGATGGAAAAATAGAAGTGTGACGGCAGACATCACCAAATGGTCCATCCGGCCCGCCCACTTTTTTATTGTCCTTTTCTTTTTTAGACTTTTCCTCTCAGTATATATACAGCATCTCCCAGAAGTTAGTCCACTCCTCTCATTGGATGAAATCATGTCATGTGATGAGACAGAAGAAATTACACTTTGCTACAATGTAAAGGGGAGTGGGCAACACTATGGCAGATGAGGTTTAATGTCCATAAATGCAAAGTAATGCACTTTGGACATAAAAATAAACAAATGGGTTATAAAATTATGGGGGTGCCGCTAGGGAAGTCAGAAATGGAGAAGGATAAGTGAGTGTGCAGCTTGTATATCAGTGTATATATGATGTCCCCTCCAAATAACTCAACACACAGCCATTAATGTCTAAACTGCTGGCAACAAAAGTAAGTACACCCCTATTATCATAAAATAGAAGGCATGAAGTTGTTCGCCATGCCGCACAGCACTGGACATACCTTGGAGAGGGAGAGAGCCGGTAACGATCTCGTATATCACCATGCCGAGACTGAAAGAGGTGCAGGTGCATTAATACGGGTTCTGAAGGTGCCTTTATATACAGATCATCCAAACAATCAGTTCACGATCCTCTCTGTGTCATAAAAGTTCAGTTTCAGTGGACAAATCAGCACAGAATTAGCAAAATTGGGCAAAATCTGAAAAAAACTGCATTTTATTTTACTTACCTTCAAATCTTTTTCTCTGCGTTCATTGGAGGACACTGCTCTGCTTCAGAACACCATCACCTACCGGAGTGTCGCTTTTCCCTCTGTGCTGGAAAATAATGATGGACACGGCCGGGGAGGAGTACTGAGGTTCTGGTCTACTCAGGTTCTTTGGAGCCCCGGGAGCATCCCTGCTTCCTGTCAATGTGCTGGAACTTCAGTCGGATGGACTCTGCTACATTGGATGCATCTCCTGCAGGGACACCCTGTGTGGGTGCGGTCAGACAAGGAGGCGGAGGCATATATTAACCAATGGGGGGGGGGGGGCGACCA